CCACCACCACCCCCTTCACTCTGGACCTGTCCACCGGCAATGCTTCACACTGCCACGAAGACGCTTCAGCTGTTTTGTATGGACTACACAAACGCACATTGTACACACACGCGCGCACTACAGTGTAAACCCATATGAGGATGGGTTCTCTGTTGAGTCTGGTTCCTCTCAAGGTTTCTTCCTATCACCATCTCAGGGAGTTTTTCCTTGCCACCGTCACCCTGCTTGCTCATCAGAGATGTCACACACACACACACTTCACTTTACTTTTGTTTGTGTAAAGCTGCTTTGAGACAATGACGTTTGTAAAAACAGCTCTATATGAATAAAAAATGAATTGAATTGAATTGCCTCAACTTCTGTCTAAAGTCCTCACAACATTCCTTTTTCAGCTTCCACTACTTGGTTTTCTTCTCTATCTCTATCTTTGACCTCTTCTTCTTACAGACCATCAAAGTCATCCTACACACCACCATCCTGCGCTGTCTGGCTACACTCTCTCCCACTACCTCTTTACAGTCACTAATCTCTTTCAGATTGCCTCTTCTACATAGGATGTAGTCTACCTGTGTGCTCCTACCGCCACTCTTGTAAGTCAACTCTATGCTCCTCCCTCTTCTGAAAATAACTGTTAACCACAGCCATGTCCATCCTCTTAGCAAAGTCCACTACCATCTGTCATTCAAAGTTCCTTTCCTTAACTCTAAACTTGCCCATCACATCCTCATCACCTGTGTTCCCCTCACCAACATGTCCATTAAAATCTGCACCTATCACCACTCTCTCACCCGTGGGAATACTCTCTATCACCTCATCTAATTCACTCCAGAATCTCTCTTTCTCCTCTAACTCACAACCTACCTGTGGGGCATAACCACAAACAACATTCAACATCACCCCTTCAATCTCTAACTTCAGACTCATCACCCTGTCTGACACTCTCTTCACCTCCAAAACATTCCTCCCAAACCTTCAGGACCACACCTACCCCATTTCTCTTACTATCCACCCCATAATAAAACAGTTTGAATCCTGCTCCTATACTACGAGCCTTGCTACCCTTCCACCTGGTCTCCCGTACACACAGTATATCCACCTTCCTTCTCTCCATCATATCAGCCAGCTCTCTACTTTTCCCTGTCATAGTACCAACATTCAGAGTTCCTATTCTCAGTCCTACACTCTTACCTTTCCTCTTCTCTATGCACTCTCCTCCCTCCTCTATTTCTTCGACCAACAGTAGCCCAATTTCCACCGGCGCCTTGCAGGTCACCGGCGCTGATGGCGGTCATTGTTAACCCGAGCCTCGACCGATCCGGTATGAAATTCAGAGCACTGACGATACACATGATTAAATTTGGCAATGTTTTACGCCGGATGCCCTTCCTGACGCAACCCTCTCTATTTATCCGGGCTTGGGACCGGCACAGGAGTCACTGATTACCCTGAATCAGCTGACTAACTGGCATTTACCTTGGACTGAGCGTCGAGGTTCAACAATGCCAAAGGTGAGTTAATGTTTAATATGACTTCAGTTTCAGTGTCTTGAAATCTGTTTTATGTTAGATTTTTCCTTTGGATAATTATATTTTATCAGTTACACATAGCTCACTTAGCAAAAATCAGTCTATCTTAGCAAGCTAGCGATGGCTAACTAATGTATTGCTAATTAGTATTGTTAATTGCTAATTAACCTTGGGTCCCTGGAAGACTAGTGGTTAGGCCACAGCACTCCCACTGCAGCGGCCCGGGTTTGATTCCTGGCCAGGAAACCAACCAACAGTGCACTCTCAGTGTAGGTCCCAAGCCCAGATAAAATTGGGCAGGGTTGCGTCAAGAAGGGCATCCGGCGTAAAAACTGTGCCAAATCAAAAAATATGCGGACCGATGATCCACTGTGACAACCCCTAACAAGAGCAGCTGAATGAGGAACAACAGGAACAACAACAACAACTGCTAATTAACGCCCCCATTTTTGATAAAGCTACAGAATGCATTTAGATCATCACGTTCATCTTTTGATCTCAAACCCTAAAGTCTACAGTGCATAGCAAAAACAAAAGAACTGGCCTTGCCATTCCAATATTTTCGGAGGGAACTGTACATTAACAGTTATATTTTATTGTATGCTCATATACAATTGTTACAGCACATGCAAATCTTCATGTGTAATAACTCTTTATTAATGCTTATAGGTTCCTGTACAGGTCACCACTGGAGGAGCTGAGAGAAGGTCACCTTAATGATTTTTTACCAATGATACTGCTCTACATGCCTACTGTTAATGGATGAGTAGCAAATAGTACAACAACATTCTCACTCATTACATACTTCTGAACTGAGTTATTTAGATACTTTGAGCACATTAAGAGTCAAGATTTGGAGAGAGCAAGTGAAACACTACACATGTTACAAATTTAAAATTTACTAACATTGTTGTGTGATGTTGATGCCTGATGTTAACATTGGTGTATTATTTAATATAATTTGTTTTCCAGACAATGTAAGAGATCAGTCATTATTCAAATAAGGCAGTGTTTTGTATATTTTGTCCTGCTTTGTACCAGGGAACATGGTATAAAATGTTGAAAATGTCTGAAAGATTGCGAACTTAAAGACATAAACCAGCTGGACTCACTGATCAGACCAACCTGAGAACTTTCAGAACATGGCTTGATATTTTAATGATCACACCTGAGGGGCATCTTTCTGCCCAGAACCTGCAGCCTTCTGGACCCATAAATATAGGGAACCAAAATACTGTATAAGCCGCTGTTACTGGCTGCCACGATACTTAAACTCCCCGTGACATTATTCGCTTCTAGTGCAAGTCTAGGAGGCGGAGTTGGTGTAACCTAATAACATTTTCTGTAATTTGCTTTATGTATATATTGTCACAAAATTTGCATACCCTCCTTTAGTTCTATGTTTTTTATTTATTAGGTCAACAGATTTAAATATGTAGTCATTTGTTCCCAACATTCAAGTACAAAGTACAACATTCATAACAAAGTAAACCAACATTCAGAAACCAGGTGGGGAAAAAACAGGTACACCCTTCCTACTTCCAATCACTAAGACAGTAATTAGCAATCAGGTGTTACTAATGAAATGCACAAGATTAGTTAATCATCAAGTAGTGTGACTACCTCCATAAAAACAAAACTTTTGTCAGTTTGGTGTTCTGGAAACTTAGGTGTGTCTCTACATCATGCCAAGAAGAAAGGACATCAACCAAGACCTCAGAAAAGCAACTGCTGCTGCTCATTAATCTGGGAAGGGTTATCTCCAAATAATTTGAAATACACCATCTTACAGTAAGAAGGATTGTTTACAAGTGAAAAGCCTTCAAGGCAGTTGCCAATCCTCCCATGATTAACTCCACTTTATACCAGAATATTCTTAAGACAAATGTGAGGCCATCTGTCCAGCAGCTTAAGCTGGGCTGAAACTGTATCATGCGAGAGGACAATGATCCCAAACACACGAGCAAATCAAATTCTGAATGTCAAAAAGAAGAATAAAATGGAGGTATTGGAATGGCCTAGTCAAAGTCCAGACCTCAACTCCATTGGGATGCTGTGGCAGGATCTTATGAGAGCTGTGGATAAACAAATACCCTTAAACATCAAAAAACTGAAGCAATGTTGTAAAGAAGAGGGGGCCAAATTTTCTCCAAAAATAATGTGAGAGACTGATAAGCTTCTACAGAAAATGTATACTTCAAGTTATTGTTGCTAAAGGTGGTTCTACATGTTATTGAATAATAGTGTATACTTAGTTTTTCCCACCAGGTTTCTTAATGTTGGCTTACTTTTTGGGAAAAAATGACCACATATTGAAATCTGTTGTGTTTTTTGTTGTCATCTGAGGTTATTTGTTTGTTTATAGAAGTTAGTGAGGACCACACAATTATTTAGTCCCTGATAAATGAAAAAATAGAACTGAAGAAGGGTGTACTTTCCTTTTCCCATGACTGTATATACTGTATGTTGGTGCCAGATGGACTGGTTTGAGTATTTCAGAAACTGCTAATCTCCTGGGATCTTCACACACACACACACACACACACACACACACACACAAAACAGTCAGTTGAGTTTACACAAAATGGTGCAAAAAACAAAAAACTTCCTGTGCACGGAGGGACTGCAGGCCGAAACACTGTTCAGAGGAGAATGACCAGACTGGTTTGAGTTGATGGGAAGTCTATAGTAAGACAAATAAGCACTCTTTACAACCGTGGTGAGCAGAAAAGCATCTCAGAAAACACAACACATCAAACCTTGAGGTGGATGGGCTACAACATCAGGGCCCGTATTCACAAAGCTTCTTAGAATTCTCTCAGAGAGCTCCTATCTTAGCCTAAAAGGATACCACAAGATGGCGGCGCGGCAGTAGCTCGCAGCGGTCTCTCTGGATCCAGGTGCTTTTAGTGTTTTTAGCACGACCCTTCGATGTACATGAACACCAAAGACAACTGTGTTCATGTATACGACCGCCAGACACTAGTACAGTACAGAAATCATGTAGCAACCAGTCTGCATGATGATGTATTTAACAAACTTCGCGACCTCGGCTTACTGCGACCCCGGCTACATAGACCAGGCCCCCAGTCCTCGGCGTCGCCTGATGCCGGTGACAGGGAGAGAGGACATCGGAAGCGGTGCTCGAGGAAGCGGAAGCGCGCTAAGCGGGCGGGTGTCCGCGTTAGGCTAAATGCTAACCCTAGCCGGCCGGCTCTCCCGTCCATTTTTCTATCAAATGTCTGCTCCCTGGACAATAAATTGGACTACATCCGACTCCAGCGGACTACACGGCGAGAGCTCAGAGACTGCAGCGTCCTTGTTTTCACGGAGACGTGGCTCAGCGACAGAGTTCCGGACGCCGCCATCCAGATAGACGGGCTAGCCACGTTTCGAGCTGACAGAAATGCAGCTCTGTGCGGTAAGACTCGCAGTGGTGGTGTGTGTGTTTATATCAACACGGAATGGTGCAAGAACTCTGTGCTGGTTTCCAGCGTCTGCTCATCGCTAGTGGAGTTTGTGACTGTAAGGTGTAGACCATTTTATTTACCACGGGAATTCACCACCATTTTCATTGTTGGAGTGTACATTCCGCCTAGCGTTAATGCTAAGGAGGCGCTATGTGAACTCTATGGGGCTAGTAGCGACCTGCAGAATGCTCACCCTGACGGATTATTTATTATCGCTGGAGATTTCAACCATGTGAATCTCAAAACAGTGCTCCCTAAATTTCATCAGCATGTGGACTTTGCTACGAGAGGGGATGGATCTTGTTTACACAAACATACCCGGCGCGTACCGCGCGGAGCCCCACCCCCACCTCGGATACTCAGACCACATCTCTGTTATGCTAATTCCATCGTACAGACCACTCGTCAGACGCTCGAATCCGGTTCTGAAACAGGTAAAAACCTGGCCAGAAGGAGCCATCTCTGCTCTTCAGGACTGTTTTGAGTGCACTGACAGGGATATGTTCAGGGAGGCTGCAACCAACAGTGATTCCATTAACTTGGAGGAGTACACATCATCAGTGACCAGCTACATTGGAAAGTGCAATGATGGCGTGACCATCTCCAAGTCCATCACTACACGCTCCAACCAGAAACCGTGGATGACTGCAAAGGTGCGTGCGCTGTTAAATTCCAGAGACTCCGCCTTCAGAGCAAGGGACAAGGCGGCCTTAAGAACAGCAAGGGCCGAACTGTCCCGAGCCATCAGAGAGGCAAAACGCGCACATGCCAAGAAAATCCACGGTCACTTTCAGGACAGCGGAGACACTCTGCGCATGTGGCAGGGCATCCAGGCAATCACAAACTACAAGACAACATCACCTGCTTGTGACAGTGACGCCTCCCTCCCAGATGTGCTGAATGACTTCTACGCCCGGTTTGAAGCACAGAACAACGTGACGGCAAGGAAGACCACACCTCCTACCAACGACCAGGTGATCTGTCTAACCACAGATGAAGTGAGGAACACTCTACGCAGAGTCAACCCACAGAAGTCTGCTGGACCAGACAACATCCCTGGCCAGGTGCTCAGGGAATGTGCAGAACAGCTAGCAGATGTCTTTACTGACATCTTCAACATCTCCCTGAGCAGCGCTGTTGTTCCCACATGCTTCAAGACAACGACCATCATCCCAGTGCCTAAGAAGTCTTCAGTTTCCTGCCTCAATGACTACCGTCCCGTTGCACTCACACCCATCGCTATGAAGTGCTTCGAGAGGCTTGTCATGAGGCACATCAAATCCCACCTTCCACACTCACTGGACCCACTGCAGTTTGCGTATCGTCCTAACCATTCAACGGACGATGCCATCACCACTACTCTCCATCTGGCTCTCACCCATTTGGACAACAAAGACACATACGTTCGAATGCAGTTCACAGACTTCAGTTCAGCATTCAACACAATCATTCCTTAGCACCTGATCGAGAAGCTGAGCCTACTGGGTTTGAACACCTCCCTCTGTAACTGGATCCTGGATTTCCTGACTGGGAGACCTCAGTCAGTCCGGATCGGAAACAGCATCTCCAGCACCACCACACTGAGCACTGGAGCCCCTCAGGGCTGCGTACTTAGCCCGCTGCTGTTCACTCTGCTGACTCACGACTGCGCAGCAATGCACAGCACAAACCACATCATAAAGTTCGCCGAAGACACGACCGTGGTGGGTCTCATCAGCAAGAACGACGAGTCAGCAAATAGAGAGGAAGTGAAACATCTATCAGCCTGGTGTAAAG